ATAGGACAAATCTGTTTCTTCATAAAGGCATAGGCCCTGTAGCTTCAGGGTTTTATTCTAGAAGTCCTTTAGATACTTCTGCTAGAAGAAATACCAGGGGACAGAACTACTTTATAACCACAGTCCTGTCAAGTACTGACAGAGATGAAAAACTTTAGTCTTGTGTTGCTGTGCAGTGCAGAATCTTCAGATTCCATTTTTCACCCTGGATTTCAAATTTTTACATTTTGTTTGCATAGAATGTATTAAATGAAAAGCACCAAAACTGTAAAGTTTTCAAAGCCAGTTTGATCTCTTGGAACTGCACTCCCAGAAGTCAGTTTTAAAACTCAAGTATTTAACCATTATTTCAGTATTCGGTCAAATGAAAGCACTGAATAGAAAGTTTAAGCTAAAGGAACATCAAAGTGTTTCATTTCTTGAACTATAATTTTTAAGAATTCTTCATTCTCCCTTGCTAAATATTTATCATGGTATACCAAGTGCAGGAAGGTGTTGGTGTAAAGTGTAATAATGACTGTAAGAAACAAAGACAAAGTCAGTGGGTAAAACAGTGCAATTGCACAAAGAGGAAGCTGCTGCTCTGCCTTAACAAAATGCAAAAAGTGTCTCCTTGATGTCTCTGCCACCCCTTCACACCCAACCTGTCTGTCCTCAGACCTGTCCACCTCTGAAGCAGTCTGGGTAGCTGTAAGATGACCACACATCCATCACTGAACTGCCTACTGTGCATGGGAGATCATCTTTCTAATACTGTACTTTGTGTTCTATTTTTCTAAACCGTGATAACTTAATGTATCTTTTAGCAACCCTTTCATTACCTCTTTGTCTGGAAGTTATTGTTTCCATGGGGAAATTAATTGCTTTATTTATACCTGCAGTGGAAGAATGCAGGAAAAAAAGCTATTGAATCAGCGAGGCTAAGCAAGTCTAAATATAGAGCTGTGGCCTTCTACAGTATGTGACAACAGCTATTTGCTTCTGTGAAGACTTTGCTTTTTTATGGCTGGTGTAATGAAAATGTATTTGCGCTTGTCAGTAGATAACACCTGTCAAATCTGGTCCAGGCAGGGCGGCGTTGTGGACACAAGTGGAATTGTCCATAAAAAGAATTAACGATATTAATATCATTTAAAATGATTGTAATAAAAATGAATCGTTTTCAGCTGTTGCCCAGCTGAGATCCTTCTAAATACATACAGACGCTCTCTATTCTACCCGACAAAACCCCCAAAAAACTCAACATGGGAGTGGAGAAGATAACAGACAAATACACTCTGAGATACAGCCACTGTGAGGCAGTTTGACTTGCTCGTAATGAAAAAAGAAAGCATAGCTTGTTCCAGCTGGAGGACAGACACAGTTGTCAGTGATGGAACTGGGCCGACAGCCCCCCAACAGTAACTGATACGAACCCACGGTCAGACTGTGTATATTCAGTAGCTCAGTGCCCTCCTCATTACAGAACTGATCTTGCAATCCTGGAAAACAGGGTTTTTCACTCTTCAGCTCAGGCATGACACCACTGTAAAATCCGTAATTACCGGAGTCCTGAATGGAAAGTCGATTGGATTTTCTTTGCCTTCTCTCGTGGTTTGAATTTGACGGGTAATTGTCAGTGAGCTCACTCTGCAGCCTGGGCACCAAGCCACTCAGCTGACAGAGCCTTGGCTTGAAATGGAGCCTCATTAGACTAATTCCTGCACACATTTCACTCCACCTCTTCTTGTCTGCTGCTCCTAGCCTGTGCTAAGTGTCAGCACCGAGAGTATGCTCTAGTTTTACACACACAGAACAGCAACAGGAGAATAATTGTGCTCAGTTGTGCTTTTTATGTGTAGTAAATGGGGTCTGACAGTTTGTCTTCTTTCCAATAATAGGAGATAATGGAGTGAGGCTTCATGCAGATACATATTATGCAGTGGATATACACACATTTTTCATGTATTTTCTCTTCCATGTGAAATTATAATAATTCTTCCTGACATAGAAATGTCATACTTCATACTTCATGTTCAAGTGTCTATGTTCTTTATAGTCTAGGACAATATTTTTTTTTATTTTGACTTGAGCTGCTAATGTATAATATTCACTGTGTGTGGGCTGCTAATTTCTGTTTTGCAAGTTGAGCAGGTGTTATTATGCTTTTAGATAACAAAAAGCTTTTAATAGCATCCTGGAAGAACCATTTGTGACTTCTTCACTGTTCTATCTTGTAGCTTTAATTAAAACAGCTGTTTTATGTGGTGCTGATAATTTGTCTTCCATGAACTGTTTAACTATTTTAACTAGCTTGTGTGAGCTACTTAGTAATATACAATATGTAGCAACCATGGAAATGAGGACTGATCAACCTTTCATTATAATCAGATTCTGTATTGAAAGCAAAGCAGCTCAGTAGAAAAGGAATTAGATGATTAACTTGTTTTCTGTAGGCTCATGCTGCAGTTGTGGGGTGGTCAGGCCCTGAGTCTGCATACAGCTGCTCCACAGGCAGACACATAGAAGTAAAAATTGACAAAATGCCTTAAAGCATAAAAAAGGGCATTTTATAGGTGCTACGCAATATGGCTTTCTTGTTATGTGTTTTCATATATTTATGAATTGGTTCCTAAGATTCTTTAAGTTAAGACATAGCCTGGAGACACAATTGTTCGCTCTGCTGTCAATCAGCTATCGAGCTCTTGGCTCAATTTAGGGTTGGGGCATCTGTCTGGGTGGAGATTTCATGTTCACCTCATCTTTCTCTGATGTGGCTGAGCATACTGGTTTCCTCCCATCTCCCACGGGCTTGTACAGTGCGTTAGAGATGAACGGCTAATCTACACTGTCCCTTTCCAGGTGGCTTCAAGCAGATCCGGGTATCCAGTGATTAACTGTCATATTCTCATCTTGCAATAAAGCTGACATTAAAGGAGCAGCATGAGGATGTCCGCTGTCCTGACAGAACGTGGTCACATCAGGACGACCCTGCAGGAAGGGCACCAGGTGAGGTCCCAGGCCTGTGGAGTCAGGCAGCCATCACTCCCTACAAGTGGAGCTTTGTACCAACCAGACACACCTGCCCAAACCGTCACGCTCAAGACTTGTGGTCTTCCAGATCCAGGCCCTTCATTGACTGTTTGCCATTCCAGTTAGAACTACAGTAGCTGCATATGAACACCCCAAACAGCCAGTGAGAGTGGGCTAACATAGTTCACCTGCCAACATACTGGTGACACAAAAGGCAAAGTGTGCATTTATGAACCATTTAGTTATTTTCACGATGTCTAAAACACTGTGGCAGGGGTCATAAATATTCAAAGAGAACAAAAATTAAATGGATAAATCAAAAAAGTAATTAAAGTCATAAGAACATTAGAAAGGGTGCAAATAGGGGGAGGCCATTCAGCTCATGTTCGCATTTTGTCGATTATAGATGCTTCAAAAGCGTGTGATTAGAAAACGTCTGTTTTCATCAGACCTCTTCTGTGTTTGCCAGCATGCATATGAAACGATGACACATGTCAGCCCAGAAATCTTGATCCCATTCCATTGCAGAACCGAGAGGAACAGCCACTCCTCTTGACAAAGTCGAACTGTTTCTCACTTCTGGAAACAAACCAGCAGTCTGTAGGAGACGCTCCGTATGCCACATGTCAAAGCTCTTCACACCCAAGGTTTTTCATGCTCATTCAAGCAGTTAGAATTATTGTGAAGGAAATGTGATAATTAAAAAAAGGTCTTTGAGACAAAAATAGAACGTTATCACTAGGCAAAAGCTTGCATTCTGTGTGCTTACTTAACATCTGAGTTGTTTTTATATTTTATATTCTAATGTGCATGACAAATACATTTTTGTAATGAGCTATTGCACATGTGAATTCTGCAAAACAAGAGGATGTAGCAATCTCCATGCCAGTTTGTTAATACACAGCTTTTTGCTCAGTAGCAAATGGGCAATTTTCATGTGATGCTGTACAATCGCCGCTTGGTAGCCTTTCACAGAATTGTATTAGATTTGAGATCCAAAAGCCACTTAACCTTGCATCTCTATAAAATGCTTGCATCACAGAAATAAGACTTCAGACCATTTTTCACAACAGCTTCAAGTGAAGGATTATAAAAAAAACATACTTCTTCATTTTAGTTTGATCAATGCAGTAGAAATGATTTGCAACTTTTCAAGTATCTCAAGAATGCTGTCTAAATGCTGCATGTTTTATGTAGATGTCAAATACTTCAAGGATAAAAAAAAGTGCTTTTTATGTCTATTGACAAAAAGAGGCTAAAGGATTAATTTTAAAAGAGCAGTGTTAATGTATTTAACTGGAAGTTAATGAAGGTCAGGACTATATAATGTACATCGTCTAAGGCCGTGTCCCGATTGTCACACTAAACCCTAAACACCAAACGTGGACTTCAAGTGCTCGAGTATCTGAGGTGTATCATTACTCTTTGTGTTACTCGGCTCAGGGGCAAAATGCTTTTTGTTCATTATGCTGCTTTTTAAGTAGCTGAGTACATGTCGGAAGATACTGGACTGAACTGAATTGAATTGAATTTCATCTCGTCCATCCTTACAGAAGTAGTGACGCACCGTATTCATTCACGTTGAACGGGCGAAGTAAATCAAGGAAAATGCTGCAAAACCAGTCTGTTTGTTCAAAGCTTTGTACCACAAAATACATTTCAAATCGTCTGCCCTAGTGTAACAGAGTAAAGTTGTGGCCACTGAATTACTGGAGAGTTTATAAGTAGTTCGTTTGCGCAGGAATACATCCCTTGCAGGGCGGGAACGGTACCACTGTAGGTTTTGCGGTGGGGGTGGGAAGGAAATATAATTTATATTAATTAGTGTACCATACGTTAACTTTTTTTTCGGTTGGGTGTTAATTTTAATATCATTAGTAGTGAAAAAATAGTTTTTTTTATTATTTAGCCCACAGCAGAAACTGGACATGCCGCCAAATTAGTGGTACGTGCGGGAAAAGTTGTTAAAAGAGCCCGTTTCCCGCTGCTCTGTCTCTGTCCCGCCTGGGAGCGCTCTGCTGGTGAGACCGCCGTGTTTCTTGTGCGCTGGTATTTGTTGCATATATCCGTTATCATTTCGTATTTTGGTTTAAAATAAGATTGTGAAGTGGGGGTTGTAAGAATCCGAGACGGGAGTGGTAATTTGTTTGTTTTTTAAATAAGTTTTGTTATATGCGAAATATTCGTTCTATAAATTTCGTTTATTTTTGTGTGGTTCTTTAGGTCGACCCCTGTCAGACAAACCGGGCTGTACTGTTATTTATAGCCCTTCTGCTGGTCTGGGTCACCTACTCAATTCCCCAACACAACGCAGGGGAAGGGCAGTAGTTGTGGCGAATCTGCCCACGCTACACCAGTACAACCATTACAGTAGGAAGCACGTAACGCGTTAATTCACGTTCAAAATAAACTAAATGACGGTAAATTTGACAATACCTCAGAGCTCTGTACTTTGAAATACGTGTACTATTTAATCATCCGTGTGCAAAACCGCACCGCAGTTAAACGAATATTCGCCAGTCTAAAGGGGGCGAAGAAATAAAAGCCCTACCCAGAATACATACAGTATGAATTTGAAGTAACCCAATGAAAATGAGTTTTTATGTTTAATGTGAGTTTTTCAAACTAAAACGTTTTACTAACACGTGAATATTTTACACGCCATGGGAACTCCTCTCCGCTTTGATGCCGCTACAAGACGAAACGTCACCTGTCCGCTGGGCACTGGGCGCGATTCCCTTACCGGGGCGCATGGGGGCGCCCCTGAGCAAGGGTGCATACTGGGGAAACGGCCTACGTAATCGTGCTCCCCAGAACAGTAGCTCACGGCATTATTTAGATTTCTCATTGTTTCTCTAAATGTATTGCCTGCGTATAATGAGGTTTGCCGTGTGCTCAATGAAGCTGGTACGTTGCAGTATAAAATAAGTCATATAGAAGAAATACCAGCATATAGCTCAATCAGTGTCTGCTGTACTGTTTGCATTAATCCATGTAATTGTGTGTTAAGATGCCCAATGTGTTTGCTCTGCAAACATGCTGGACGTACTGGTTTCTGTGTGTCCACAGCAGGTGCAGCACATACGTTTGCAGCATTTAGCCTCTCCTTGACTGTCACACTCATGGCTGGTGGGTCAGGGAACACTGCAGGTGAAAAGGCAGATCAGCCTTTATTCGTTATTGACCTTTTGTTTATATGTGTTCTGTCATGTGCAATAAAAGCTTCTATTTGTATAATATCCAAGTTTACTATCCTGTAGGACATTGACAATTGTTAACTTCAAATTGCGAATTTCAAACCTACAGCTTTTGACTTGTAAAAGGGATTTAGTCCGCATTTCACACCGCATTTCTCGTGTGCACAGATGGCTTCAATCTCACCTTGAGATTTTCATCACGCAATGCTGGCATTTGAAAGGAAGCCAGATCGATTTGCCAGGTGTTTTTTGTTTCTCCAAATGCTTACTTTGTGGAACTTCAGTGCTTTTTTTCACCCCTTGTACCCAGAAGGGCAAATAAAATGAAGACAAGTTGTAACTGTTTGTCCTAAGAAAGGAGTGATGTATGTGATGTTTGAATCAGTCAAGCTTTATTGTTGAGAGTTTAAAATGAAGAGAGGCTTTAACGAACAATTTATGTTGTATGAAATCCAGGATTTTTAAAATCAAGTTTGTATAACATGAATTGGGCGGGGGGGCATTTTAGCATAATTATAGAGATGGAATTCTTAATTAAATACATATTATGAAAGAATATAAAAGGGAAATATTATGGACCAAAGGTCTGGAAATGTTGAGGCTTCTTTTAACCTTGACATGGCAGAGTTTTGTCCTTTGCTGCAACTGTGTGGATGAACGTCTGACTCCCAGGAAGCCATGGAGCTGCTGGGCTCAACTGGTCATTAAGTGCAGGTGATGTCTGTTGTCTCTGAGTCCTTTTCATAAAAGAGCATGACAAACAGCTCCCGGCATTTTGTCTGAGACCAGATCTGATGCTGTTCAACCAACGTTTAAAAAGCTGTGAAGGCTTTTTTTCTTCACTTTGAGATTACAGCTCAACTCAATTGTTTTGTTTTTCCTTACTGTTCTGCCATCCTGGAACTGGAAAATTAACTTGTGGAATTAATATAGGAAAACGCCAACCTGAAACTCCAATAGTCCTGCCCATTCTTTAGGTTTAAATGGAAATAGCCTGCCATAATATACATGTGTCATATATATTAAACACATCCACATTTCCCTAAGGGTATTAGGGCTATTATGCATTGACATTATAGGAGGGTGTGCAAGCAGGTTTATGTTGTTGGCTTGTAGTGCTTCACAGGGAAAGAGAAGCTAGTATTGAAATCCCTAACTGACTTATGGCAGTCATGTTAGATTCCTTAATTAGCCAACAAGCAAGCATCTGCTCTTGAAAGCAGATGGATAAACAGAGCAAAGAAAGGTAGTTGGGGGTGGAAGAGGGAATGTGACCATCTCTCCGCATGGTTAGGCTTCTGTAACTCGTAACACATTATCCCACTACAGTAAAGATGCTTTAGAAAAGTGAGCGTTTTACCTGGGGCCCCCAGTGCTCTCTTCAGCTCTCATTCCTGTGCTGTCAGTCAGGTCATGGATGCCATGAAGTCAAATATCTCTCAAGACTGAGTTCATAGTAATTCAGATGTTGAAATTAAAAAGCAGAGTCATTTGACAAGGTGCCCAGTTTCATTTTGTCTTTTTATTTAAGAACTTAAGATGAATTTATCCTCTATGGAACTGAAGTCTAATTTTTGTTGAGATGAGGTTTAACAGCAGACACAAGGAACTAGTTTTTTAGCAGTAGAAACATAAACCAAGCATTTACAGAAACTGTTAAGCGATTGTAATTGCAAATGAGGCTTTTATTTTTCAGTGCAAATTTTCATGTGTGGCTAAAAATAGACTACAACAAAACAATGACTGGATCCATAGCACAAGAACACAATGGGTAGTCATTTCTGTTCTATTTAATTTCCCCTGTGTATGAAAACATTACGTCATTTAAATTAGTTCACTGAAATAAGATACATTGTCACTACATGGTTAAAATTAAAGAAACTCAGTATGAGAGAATAAGGTTTACATCTATTGTAACTTTGGCGGTTTAAAACCGTGTGCTCTGGATTGATAGAATAAATCTATTTAAAGTGTCTTTAGGCTGTCATTTATTTTTCTTCTGCTGGTTGAAAGCAGAGGGTGGAGATTACTTTTTAATTTGTGAAATAGCATTTATAAATAGCAAGCACTGCGATTCGTATCAGTTCTGACATTAGCTTTTGTGCTGCATTTTAATTTCAGGATTGAATGCATTAAAAGGTTATAATTCCAACAAAACCAGACATTTAGGTGAAAAGATTAGCTTTGCATGAGAAAACTAATTCTTTTGCACCTGATTCAGAGGCCTATGCATCTGCTCTGGTAGTATTCTCTTGTCCAGCATGTTCAGCTACAGTATAAAATGTGCCATTCTATTACAGCAACATTCAGAAAAGAATTTTATCTGCTGAAGTAACACAAATATCAAATAAATCTGCCAGAAAAGGTCGGTATGAAACATTACTGTGTTTTAAGGTATTTTTTGTCATTTCTGGTAAGACTGTATTGACATGCTTCAAGGATATTTAAAGAATCATTTAATTTTGTGTAATTTTTTTAAAGTTCTTTCTAAATAAAATATTGCTCAATACTCTTGCAAAACAATGGTAAATTTTGGATTTATCTCATGTAAAATAATTCAGCAATACTGCTGGGAGCCTTTTTAGATGTTATGGAATATACATGGAGAAGCAAGTGCCAATTTTCAAGATCCATATTCTCAAGCTCCCTGTGGGTTTTATGATTCAATTACTTATAGTTAAAATACATCCATCATACACAGCTATGAACACAAGCACACAAAAAGACGTTTAATATACAAAATGGTACCATATTGATGCTAATATATACTGTATAATAATTGTAATATTATTTTAGTATTAGGATTGTTTTGGTCACCTTTTTTTACACCTTTCAAAACCCAGTTGCATTTCTTTCCAGATCTCCGAATTAAGCTTGTGCCTGAACGTTGCTTTAACAAAAAGTGCATTGCAATCGATCGATCAGGACTTTCAGTGGTTATTCATCTCATTCCTCAGGTTTCCAAGCAACTCTGTGATGCTTCATTTCTCCCCAGAACATTTTTGCTATCAAAGAAAAATCACCAGTAACCTTGACATGTGGGCACCCTCTGGGATGCCTCTTGGTTGCCTGTTGTCGAATATTTTGCTGCACAGGTTAGTTTTCCTTAATGTCTTGATCCTGCTAAGCACACGCAGACAAGAGCTCCAGCAGGCAGCCAGGTAAGATGGACAACTACTAAACATGCCTAGAGAATGAATCACACACTTCCTTTGCTTTTTAATTGGTGCTTTGCAGTGAGCTAAGGTAATTTTTCACAGAGAAGGAAAAGTTTCCACTACTGTCTTCACAGTCTTGCACATTGTTACTAATTGCTTTGCCTGAGCTCTGCTGCATTGAGATGCCTTTTCTAACTTAATTCATCTCTCAGTCAGACCACTTGGCTGCCAATATTTTGATCTCTCCAAACCATCTCCATTTTTCACATATGCTATTGAAAATGAGCATAAGCAGAACAGCAGCCTTTCTTTAATGCGATAATGATCTGGGGTCAATTTATGTCATGGGAAATGCAACTCGACTACCCACGCACTCGTAATGACATTCTGATATACATGAATCTTAGTCATATACTTTCTAATCAACAAATACTGGTTCCTGTCAATGTGAAGAGAAAGAGATGAGATTTCAGCATTATTCTGAATTTTTCAAATGGTAAGTGATCAATCAGACTTGAACTTTAAGGGTACTTTGTAGATGTAGTTCAAGTAGGGAGCTGCATCAGCATGCGTGGGCTGCAAAGGAACAAGTTAAAGGTTTAATCCACGCTGAACAGAGAAGAAAGGAAGCAACGTTGGGAGCCACCTTAAGAAGGATCCACATCCAAAACATTGTTTTCTTCTCTTTTCAGCTTGGAATAAACCTACTTGTTCCTTTGTTGATGTAGTTTGAAACACTGATGTTTATTGGCTTTCAGACAGGGGCAGGGTTCTGTTCCTTGATCCCCCTTCTCGACTCGGTTATATTGGCTAGAAACGTTTGTGGTCTGCTGGAATATTTGATGGGTTCTCTGCCTATTCTTTAGCCAACTTCCTGGCTCTGTATGGAGGAGGGTATTCCACTTGTTCTGTCTTTTAAGTTCACTTAATTCAATAATCCATTTTAACCTTTCTTGTTTTGACAACTGAAAAGGTTCACCAGAGGTGAAGGCAATACTCGCTGCTTGTTTACACTGATTTCAGAAAAATCATTTCAATCTCACCGTGAGTGTATCCTTTCAGAATAAAACGGTTTATATGCTTACCTTTGATAAATTATTTTCATATTGAAGTGTTTCAAAAAGGTGGAATTTCAGTGCAGAATTACAACAATTCTATGCTCTTTGCTAAAGGTTTAGTTGTAGTGGCAATTTAAAAACCATTTGACCTCGCTATGAGTTTGTTGTAAAAGGACATTTTTCCATGTACTCTACCTTAAAAGCAATGCAAAATTAAATGTTACTTCTGACTAAGTGGGAAATCAAAAGAAAGTGGTTATAATTGAAATCTGACATCCCTAAATTAAATAAGCATGTTTACCAATAAAAACTATTGAAAAGGACACTCCTCCTGACTACATCTAAAGTTGAGTTGCCTCAAAAGACACTGCAACATACAATTGAAAATACTATCTGCTCTAATAGGGAAATAAAACATTTCCAATCACCACCTCGGATATGTTTGCAAAATGCAATTAGATAAACCTGACTGAACAGAGGACACCTAAACTGAATTATTGTGCCCCATACTGTCACAGTGAAATTACCTTATTTTAATATTCAACTTGATGGAACTTCCTTTTGTAGCGCTTAAAAAATTGCAAAAAAAGTGGACATTTTTGCAAAGGCAAGATATATCAGGAAGCCTTACAAGATTTAGTTTCAAAACCATTCTGAACTAATGCATTTCTATTAGAAACAGTGATACCCAAAAGAAGCACAATATACAGTATGGAAAGACAAAAGATTTGTTAAATGATGTAAGTGGATTAAAGCACATAAAGCCTCATTATTGGAGAAGTGGTACTAGAATGGTAAAATAGCAAAGAACTGTGAAAGAACAGATCACCACTGGACCACAGAATTATTGAACTCGGAAACCGAAGGAAAAAAATGTAAAATTGCCACAAAAAATCCGTAAGGTTGCAGAGACCAGACCGAAAATGACAAATATAGGTGTGTGGGGTGGAGAGATGAAGGGAGAAGATTTCTGGGATGCATAACAATGCCCTTAAAAAAGAATGGTTTGCATAGGAATGTATTGGGACATGCAGAAAAAGAGATCACAGCTGTCGCAAACACTAAGCTAAATTCACAGAGATACAAGTTGACCCTTGCATGCACGAGGCAATTTTGTTAACAAGATGCACTAGCAAATAGGTCTCTGTATTGAGTCTGTTATGAAAGTTATTCAGGTTCCCTATTTAACAAATTAGCTCCACAATTCAATAGTGAACACACAAAACAAAATTCAGGGTACTGTAATTGAAAAAACGAAGATGAATCTTGCAACAGAAGTAAAAGCAAAAAAGATTTTTATGCAAGAAAAACTTCACACATAATGGTTATATCTATTTACCCCTTTTGTTATATTTTTAAGAGGGTAAAAATGCATCCCAGGGAACTTGATGTTTAGTATTCCTGTGAAGAATGAGTTAATTGCAGGATATGCTTTGCAAAAAAATTAAAAAGTAATAAAGGATATAGGATTTTGGTGTCAACAGTGATAAATAGCAGTATTTAGAATGTCAAATTCCCCTCTGCGATCTCTGCCAGGAAATATAGAATGCAGGTTTGCAGTCCTCATTAAGCATGCAAAAGTCATTATTATGAACTGTTATGCTGCATGGCTGAAACTGAATGCTAACTGAACGAGACACCACACCAGTAAAGTACAGACTCTGGTGTCATATCGCCAATTAGGAAAATTCTCAGCTCCACATAACATTGGTAGCTGCCAAACTAATTGCTATAAAGCATTTAGTAAGGCTTCCATTTTATTTATATTTTAATTCTATTGCACAGTTATTGTTAATGACAAAACATCTGCACGTTCTACACATTTTGTTAAAATGACCCCAATTAGATACAGGATGTCCGATAAAATGTCAAAACCTATACCCCATAACTATAAATGGAAAGAAGAAAAAATTGTAATGACACCCATTTAATAATTTATATCCAGTACGAAAATTGCATAAGATTTCCTTGGTTCTTGGTAGATGTGCATTTGTGTTGTCACATTTTCTATTGTATGTAATACCGCTTGGACATTAATTCTGTGTCTGAATTGACCGTAATTTACTAACCTTTGTACAACATGCATACAGTGCTTTGTATAAAGTGTAGATATCTTTGAGACATGAGAAACATTGTCTAATCACTAAGCAAGAGTTTAAATAGAAAATGCATCATACAAAATGTTATCACAAGGGGCCTCTAAACAGAAAGTCAGAAGTACAATCATGTCCTGTTTTTACACATGCTGGGCAGCTTCCTGGAGTTGAACTGCTGTCTTGTAATCTGCAATGGCTAACTCGGTCAACCCAAGATGCCCTCGGACATCAGCTCGAAGTTTATACACCAGAGCATCACTGGGCTGGAGAAGAAGAGCTGTGTGAAAACACAAGAGAAGAGACGCTTTATCCTTTGTCAAAGTATCACTCCTGCTTTTGAATCTTTGCATAAATTCTAAGCATAAAGAGCATCACCATTTTTCATAATTAAGTATGATTAGAACCTGGCTTTATTAGAATTAATACAAATGATTTTGTATTTAATTGTAAGTAACATTAATCAACATTTCACTTCTGGTGTCTCGGCCTTAGAGGCATTTTAAGCCTTCCACAAAAAAAAAATGAAGCTTTTGATTAAGAAAACATTGATTTTGTGCCCAGTAAGACACATGCATGATTTACATTCCCTCAGAGCTTAAAGTGGTCTGTTATTTTTCGTATAGTTGGCTGACACCTTCAACCAAGGTCACTTACATTTGCACCCATTAATACAGCTGGGTATATGACTGAAGGTATTTGCACACCATAAGATGCCTTACTCAAGGGTACGGCAACACCACTCCACTTGGGAGTTAAACTAACAACATTCCAGTTATGAGTCCTGATTGCTGCCCTTCATTTAAATAATACCCACAGCCTGGAATTAAAATACAAGAAGGGATTTTTTTTAACAAGTTCTACATCTGTTAACACTGGAGAAGAATCGGACACCTCCAAGCCCCACAACTGTAATTCCATACAAACTGAAATGTGTGGAGTACTGCGATAGACTGGCATTGCTTGCTGGGAAGGCTCCAGCTTCCTGCGACACTGTGTGATATAAAGTGGTTTGGCAGATGACATGACTTAATACTTGAACAATATACAAGATACATTCTAAAGAGAAATCCTACTAATTGAGCAAACCATTTGTAGGTAAATATAAGACTGTCCTTTATCAATGTGGTAAACAGGACAGGTGAACTCGGGGCCCAATGGAAAATATTGAAAGATTAAAAACAACAAGCAAAATATTTCTCATGGTGCGGTTCCCACGAAACTCACTTTTTTCAGATGGAACCGGTGCTACATTCAGTTTACCTTGAAAACTCGAGTTTGACTCTTTTACATAAGTTGCCTTGAACAAAAAACAGTGGCAAAATAAATTCTTGCTGTATAAACATTGTCACTGATTTTCTTGGGATTCCATGGGAAATGAAAAAACAACCTAAAAGTAAACTAACGTTAACTTAAACTGAGGAACACAAGTGTACAGTTCTCAGCACTGCTAGTGAAATGTGCATCTTCAAAAAATAACGTTTTTATTTAAATATTTATTTTAATGCTGTCATGATCCACTATCATGCAAAAGATAAACTTATAAAACAGTTAAAGTGTGAAAAAGAATTCAGCATGATCCTATTGCAGATAATTGAATGGCATGAATGAAGAACCACAGATAGAAAGTCTTACAGGTTGTTTTGACATATTCCATCTTCTTACCTTACATTGGTTAATCAGATCATTGGTTAAAACTGCTGTTTTAATCAAATAACAGAACTGAGGGCGCTATCCGGCAGAACTAAAGTTCACTAAAGGCACATTACAGAGAGCTAGCCGTCAAATCTTATGAAACATTTCCTAACATAGCAGTTTTTATTGTGTGGAATGATGCAGTGGTGGTTGCCAATAGACGGCCGTCCCAGCCTGCATCTTTTTGCTATAGTCACATGGAACTTTCTATGGTCACTTTCCAAAGACAGGTTAAGGCAGAATATTTACTAGTTGTCCTTGTCTAGGGTAGTGATGGAGAAATAGACCAAGACATCCTTGATGGCCCTAATGACCTCCTCTTATCTGTGGTCTTTCTGATGTACCACTTCAATATAAAGGCAGACAGGTTTCAAAGACTGATCCCTGCCTATCTGTCGGTTGGTCTGTCTTTGCTGGTGACTCATTAGTGTTCCTCTACCCAGAACAGAACTAATGTATCATTACCAGACGGACTAACAGACAGGGATCACTCTTTGAAAAACATCTCTGATGATTAATGAGTCATTGGGTGCTGGCAGAAAGGAAGCTCTTCAACAGCACTTTGATCAACAATTTTTTTCATATCATGCTGGTAGCTGTGACAGCCTCATTTCAGTAGTTGCGCAGTCACTATAGTAACCAACAATTTCTTTTTATCCTCTCAAAAAAATAAATACATTTTTTAAAAAGGGATATAAAATGTATATCAACCAAACAGGCTGTGTTGTCGGTTGTTAATGACTATCTTATTTTTGCTAACTTGGCCTCTTCGCTATGTAGTAAGATACCCATGCTAGCAAACAATCTGAAATATATTGTTTGTCAGTTATTAAAAAATTCAGACTGCTTTTTCTGTGGGTTGTACAGTTTTTTTTTAAACGTTGGTTACAGCAAACCAATCATATTTCTGTATTGTCAAACTAACATCTGTCATGTTCTGAATACAAAGCATTTTATATAATATTGGTTCTCCAACCCTGGTCCTGGACAGTCCCACTCCACATAGTCTTAAAGGAAACTCTAAAACATCTGTTTTTAAAGTTAATGAACAATGGGAAGTTATAGATTAATTAAACAAGTTAATAAAAAACAAAATACTCTCCAGCTATTGAGGGTCAGAGTTCCCTGAACTGAACAATCACAAGTTAGACCACTTGTTAAACTGATCACAGCTAAATTGTTGCAAGTCTTTGGAATTTAATAAAACCTGCTGGATTTGGACCAGGGACCAAGACAAAGACAGGGTGGGGATCTGTCAGAGCCACTTTTCCCAGAGGGCAATGGGGAATGATCTTCCAACTTCAGTAAACCTGACCAGTTATCTAGGAGGAAAGCAGAGCTCCTATTATGTGCTGATCCAGAGAGCGAAGGAAGCAAGGCAGAGGCTGACTGATGGGACTGTGTTCATTTATTTTATCTGAGAGGAATATGGAAAACTGTTGTTGGTTTTTGAAGTTGGTAAGTAGCAGAGTTGCCTAGCTATTATCAGAGATTAGAGCTTGGGGAAAGTACTTTATAGAAAAAAAAATGGAGTTTAAATCTCACGGTAGAAGTAAATAGTGTTTCTGTACCTTACGGCTGGGTATGTCTGTTGCCCAAAGTCCTACTTATAAAAGATCCCTGTTCTGGCACTATGCCCCTGGGGAAGCCACACTCATCTTCTGTAACATCTTGCAATCACAAATCTTAAGACCATTCACTGAACTCACATCATTCTTTCACATAAATAATCGATGGCAATGTACACCATGGCTGTGTTTTCCCAGGGGGGTTTGTATGCTGCAGAATGCAATAGTGCAGAAAAAACATGGCGATTTCCTTTTAGAAGGGAACAGTGGAACAGTGAAAGCCAGAGAAGAATGCTGTCCAAATTCATACACTAGTTCCTTGATTGTTTGATGTGATTCTTTCTATCCAACCCAACGGAAAAAAAAAACAAAGGAAACAAGCCCTTCCTTCCTGATTGATAAATAAAGAAGGGAGACAGACAAGCGAAAACAATGAAGTAAAAAGTAAACAGTTGCCATTTAACTGATGTTGATACTGATAAATAGGGTTTGCCAGTTATTAAAAATGAATGGATTGAAATAGATAATCATTAAAATATGTGAAAAACAGTACATATTGATTAGCGATAGACATACCTACTTTTTAGACACATAGCATTACAGGTATTTTAGAAGCTGTCTTCATTTCTGAGACGATTTAAAAAGCTGAGCTGTTTTTTTATAACAAAGTTCTGTATGATTTCTTCTTGCGCCACCAAGTACAAAGAGTTAATCCTTTTTACCCCATGTCTCACACAGCAGCAGCCAAATAAAGAAACGAGTGGACTTTGACTATAAAAATAAAAAATCTTGTCTACAGTTAGAGCTTTAAATGCTGGAAATAACTTGCAACAAGTGACAAGACTTGAAGACTCCTCCAACCCATCCAACTTGGGGGGGCCACTTGTGTGGTAAAAAGTCCCCGAAGGTTCAGCTCCAAATGGAGGTGTCCTGAATGGAATGGGTAGGTTCTTGTTTTTGAAAATGATGATGTCATACTTCTAAATGTTCATCTAAGACACAGGGTTTTTTAAGTCTGCTTGACACAATTAGCGTAAGAAACAGATTGAAAATGAATTATGCAGCAGCAGCTGTAACAAAATCACTGGCACATGCGGATGAGGATTGTAATGAAATGTTTCCATTGCATTCGGTAATTCAGTCTGTTTTGTGTAATTCTGTGCTCATTAAAAAAAAAATGGAATCCACTACTATTAGCTTTTAAGCAGATAGACTCCTGCTGTTATTTGGAGGAAAGGTCCCTAATACAGAAAATACCTACCCTTGTTAACAACAATACAGCAATATGAAAAGTTATTTCTTTAATACGAGTGGGCAAGTCAATTTAAAAGCTAATGTTACACATTTCCATTAGCGTGGAATTCTCATCTCAGGCAGTTTCCACAGAGTTTTATAGAAGATGTAATAAAAGAAGGCGAGAGGAGCTTGTGTAAGTTGGAGGCCAGTGTTCCAGTTCTAGTACAGTCAGAAATTAAACTGTACCTTGAGAGAGGTCTTTCTCTGCAGATCTGTATTTCTTCAGAGAGATGTAGAGATTAGCCCTGTTAAAATATACATGAGCTGAGAAGGGGTTGAGCTTTAAGGCTTCGTCAAAGTCCTTTAGGGCTCCTGACACATTCCGAAGCAGACTCCTTGTGATGGCACGATTGAGGAACGCTGACTCATTACTTGGTTCAAGATCGATCGCCTTTGTATAGTAATCGCTGGCCTGTGAAAAAAATGCTTCAAAATGAGGATGCAAAGAAGATTTTAGATGGTATGTTGATATATTATTTTTCATCCTTTTCTTTCTCATTATTAATCATAGATTTAACAGGATCACAGAGTACATTGTGCTTTTCAAGATATTACAGCATTACCATTTTCTCTTATAATGAAATGGAGATGTCAAAATAAGAAAAAGCTACCGGTGACATATATTACACTCACCCTGTATCTAACATGTTTTTTGTTTAGAATGGGAACTCAAGCAGACATCAGAAATAGAGACATACAGTAATTACTGAAGACCATGTAGGAAATAAGATGAAACTATTTTCTAATTCAATTTTCTTTTCATATATTTGTGGACACCAGAAAATTATATATCTTAAAAAATATCTCATTATAAAAATAATTAATTTATAAAAAATAAAATAATTTATGGAAAAACACCTTTTTTCACATCAAGTATCACAGTATATTTAAGATACTGATGGACTGTCCACAGAGATGCAGTATCTACTGATGTTCTTAAATGGTTTCAGATGTGTAGGATACTATGAATCTGTTTTAGTAATTAAAAAAGCTTATGCATTATGCAGTACAGACGTATTCTCTTTGATTAGGACCTCAGGGGTTTGGTGCATAATCACTGTCAACTTGTGTTAAAAAGAACACGTTAAGGCAAAAAGTACAGCAAGAAAAAACTGGAAAGGAAATTGCTTTAGATTCATTCACAGATAATTAGGCTGAACTTTAAAATGAAGGTCAATAGCCTTCCCCTTAAAGTCTTTCCGTTGAAACTGTCGAAAGTAGTGAGAACTGGAGGGGAAGGGAAATAAGATATACTGTGCCACATACAACAAACAGTAGCATTAAGTTTAGAAAGGAGGGAGACTGCCAATGCACTTATGAATACAGGAATGTATAAAGCTTTCTTCTAATTTGTATTTTAACCGATAGCCTAGAATAGAACAAAAAGCTTCTTACATGTCACATTACAACACAAAAATCTGAACTTCGACCTGCAATTATAATTACACTCAATCAGAATTTAATTGACAACTTTTAAAGCTAATTCGTTTTTGCATAGTCATAGGAAACAAATATCACAAACTCAATTTCAGGTGAAAATCCAACCAACCTGCAGTAAGAAATTGATTGTTGCAGTGTTAGATAACAGAACTCCATATTTATCTTGAAACACTGACACGTATGATTGTGAAATATAGTGAGATACTAAATAAAATCTTGACCCAGGCTGTCTAAGCTAATGCAGTGCTCCTTAATTAATGTGAACTTTGATCAAAAAATGGTAATATGGTCATATGAAATGTTTACAGATGTAGTTTAATCATATGACCATTCAAAATACCAATGTATTTTTTTTTTTTACTTTTGAAAATAAAACACACCAGGCACTTACCTGTTTAAATTGTCTGTTGTAAAAGTACATGTTTGCAGCATTAAAAAAGGCCAATGCATAATGTGGGTTGATTGAAACTGCATTCTGATAGTCCTTCATGGCATTCATATTGTCTCCCATGAATTGGTGGATGACACCGCGGTTTGTGAGCAACAGCTCAGAAACAGGATTATGCTGTAAAACAGTAAATTCAATTAAATTAAATCTCTAATCAGCTTAGAATTATTTTAACAATTTTACAGCATGCTGGTCCATTGCTACACAACTTTCGTATAGTAAAATACCAAATCTAGTTTAAAATCGATTTACTTTTCATATGGGATAAAGTTTTGAGTCAGGAAGAGATGCTTAATAAACACCTTCAAAGCCATATTGATGTCCTGAAAAGCCTCATAAGTGTGGCCCATCTGAAGGTTGATGACAGCTCTTCCCTCATGAGCGGCCCAGCAAGCTGGATCGATGTCGGATGCAATTGTGAACTGATTCCAAGCTTTCTTGAAATGCCCAAACACCTGGAAAGAAAATGTATCTTATCACAGCTGGAAAGAAATGCCGTGCTTAATAGAGTTAACCACTTACCTTTAAGCATCTAGCGTTCACTGAATTGAATATTAATATGATTACTCTTTGCAGTCCCCTACATGAAACAAACAACCCCTAATTTAATCTAACTATGTAATGAAGTTCACCTTGAGAATATAACAGATACTGGTACTGAAAAGTCTCCCAGGGTGTTTTTATATTGTCTTTGACAGATTTACATTCCACATTACATTCCACATTTACATTCCACATTAATCGACTATTCTCTCTGTTACAAACAAAAACTCTGTTTTTGTTACTTGTATTAATGTTGCATTGTGCATGGTACAAGAAAGGTAGGCACTGAAGAGTCAGGTCTCATTGGGGCTGCATGCCACAGCTCATTAACTCATAGCACAGCACCCCTTAACATCTGACAAGAGGGCACCCAAGGCCAAGCTTCAGGACAGCTCTCAGGGAACTGATATACTGAACATATTAACACAACAATTCCCATCCCTTTTGCTTTGGGTTATTCATAATCTATGCCTTTTTAGATTAAAATCTGCCAGCAGATATAGCTATTAAAGGGACTATAAAAATATAAGATTGTCTAACCTCCACCTCAAAATTCAAAGGCATTAAAGTTGCTTTATAGCACCACTCTTTGCTCTTTAAAAAGGGTTTATGATTTTTTTTTTTTTCGTTCAGATGGTTTCACCTGGAAGTTATATCCCAGGTTGATTCTAGCTTTGGTGCACAGAGGGTTTAAATGCAGTGCTGTGAGGAAATCTCTTTGTGCTTGCTTGCTTGCCGCCTCATGGCCATAGTCCATGTATACATTCCCTCGTCCCACACAGGCATCCAAGAAGAAGGGGCTCAGCGTCATCGCCTGGGTAAAGGCAGCAGCAGCTTCCTCCAGATGTCCAAGTCTGAAGAATAAAGAAGTACAACTGTTAAACCTCTGGGTTTTAGATAAGACAGGGTAAATGACTACATTTAAAAGAATTAAATAGAAATATATGAACAGATACTATTTTGGCATTAAGTGAGGCATATGTTTATAAAGGTTTTTAAAACGAAATTGTCAGACTACCATTTGTGTGCAATTTCATTTCGGGGGCCTTATTTTCATATAGGGTAGCATAAAGGAAAAATTCCAACTGGAATTATATGTAAGAAGTGCTTTCTAATTTTACACACAGGATACTTGAAAGTAAAAAAGCATGGGGAAATATTGAGCCTTTTTATAATTTGTGTGGAATCTTAATTGCATAGGCTCATAATACAATAATACAAACAGACACTATTGGCATGACATTACACCAATAAGTATTCCCAAAGAAGAGAACAATAATACAGAGTTGAAGCAGCATGCATAATATACTGCAGTGCAATACAATAAAGGGTACAGAAGGGTGTAATATATTACTATATAGCATAGTACTATAGTACATAGTACAATACAGTGCAATACTGTATAGTAACAGTGACAAAACAGCAATCATTGAATTGCACCACTTTCCAATTTCATGGGATATACTATTTGAACAAAAGTGAGGGCTTAGAATCAAGGAGTCCCAGGTTGTCTCTCAGTTGCCCCCCTCCTCTGAATCTGTAGTATAACTGTAGTAAAAGCCCATCATATAACAAATCTACTCCATGTATTGTTTCTCTAATACGCCCTGCCACCACTATCTTTTTTATTACCATTAGATACTTTCCAGCAACAAGACATCCAATTGCCTCAGGCTGCTCAGATATGCTAGTGCATCACTAATGAACACAGAACGAGCAGAGTAAATTAAAAATTCATTACTGAAAGAAAGAATATGCACATGCACAGAATGTTTCATTGTCCAAACTGAGGTTTTAAGTATTAAGAACTAATAGTATCTCCTGACACAGTGTTCTTGTCCTTGTCCAAGTCCTTGCTTGGGTAATTTTCACATTCAATACAAAACATGTCCCAGTCCATAAGGCAAGGTACAGTGCAAGGGTATTCCAGTATTCTTTTACAGATCCCCTCTCGGGCTACAATATCAAATTCATAGAAAATGATTGATTTGCTTTAAACATGTTTTTCATTCCAGAATGATGATTTTATAAATGAATCTTTTAAAACCATGGAACTAAGGACTTAGGACTTTGGACTTAGCACAGCTTTTATACCCTTGAGCAAGGTCCTCATACCCAGCTGCATTAATGGGTACAAATGTAAATAACTTTGGATAGAAGTGTCATCTAAATCAATTTCAACAGATTTGTGAGACTTCACACTGAAAACAAGATATCATGTTTTTTATCTTTTTACTACCGGAAAAACCTGTTCTGCTGGTAGCAAGATATAAAACATAGTTTGGGGGGAAAAAAATGTTTACCATAGACAAATACTATATTTCTGATCATGGAAAAAAATGTTTACATCATTGTATTTCTCTCTATATATCTAAAGAATAATTAAAGTGGACATTCCCTATTCACCACACAGAAAGGTGAATAAAAATGCCTTTTGCACTTGAAAGTGATCGTAAATTGCTGTTTCCTTATTCAATACTGGCAACAGTGTGACATGAGTGAAGGGTCTGTGTGATGGTATACCACCCTTTGGGATTCCAAAAATAACAGCTCGGTCAAGCACAATAAAATTCAGTCTTCAGCACTCTGAAATTACAGAGTTGGGTGTTAATAAGGTCTATAAAATGACAAAACAGCTGAGAGAGCAGGGTTAATTCATCTGGTCCAAACAACAGTGAATATAATTGTTTTCCTGCTTTGTATCCCTTGAAAATGATATTTTTGTGTGCACTGGGAATAAAAAATCAATATCTGAATTAATGACCAGATCTTTTTTTGTACCTTAAGGAAAAAAAAAACAGAATGGCCTTTTTAAGTGTAAGCATATGTCAATGAGTCAACATTTAGGTCAAATTCAATCATGTTTTTTAATAAACCAAACAGAAAATTACATTGAATTGTTCAACATATTTGCTAGCATTGTATAGATATATACTGTATGTATATCATTCAACAAATGTAAAGTTTCACATTAAAACTTTGTGTCTAGTGAGCATGCACACCATTAATCTTTCAGCTCATGAAAAGATTTTTTTAAAATGGAACAAGGTAATTAAAATGATCAATCATCAATTTCTAGGGTCAGTGAATGTTCATTTTTTCCCTGACGCTTAAATTCACGTCTCTAGGGCACGTCTTGGAGTGGTAATTTATTCTGTGAAAGTAATGCTTGAACGGCAGAAATTATCCAGGCCTACCGATGTGGTTCTTTTTGAATCAATAAGCAATGCTAAACCTCTCAAGGCAGAGAAAAATTGCAAACTGAAGAATGAGAAAACACACAGGAGGAGACTGAGGTCTTCTTGGTTACTGAGCACTGGTTCAGAATCCAGTGATTCTTTATGTCTATAATACAAACAAAATAACTACTGTATGGAGAAACAATATATTCCTTTATATGATCCATTAGATTATTAATGTTACACAAATCAAAATCAGAACCTATTTTCCAATAACTGGATGAAAAATGTCTTTCACAGAAATGCCTTTTTGTGTGTATAAAATGAAGGCTGTGAAAGAAGTCATTCTGGAAGCATGTCTTTATCTGAAAAGATATTGCAACTCTTCAGATCTGTTAAAATGTTAATATTCTGTAACAACAATGCAACTTTCAGGATATTCATTGGTAAAAGGTGAAAAGTGAACACACCTGTGGTGGTAGACTCCAAGTGCATGGAAGATAGTGGCATCTTCTGGGCTCTTCTTTGAGGCGGCTTCAAAATCCTGCGTTGTTACACGGATGAATGTATAGACCAATTAAGCTGTAGTTTACTAAAGATGACATATTTATTCTTCTACTGCTTATCATTTATCTTATATGAAACTGAACAAAGCTGAGAAATTATTGTATATTATTCAACAAAGACAGTATATACTAACAAAATGCTAAGTAATTAGACTTAACCACAATCACACACTGCTTAGTGCAGTGGTTATACCGCAGCTGCCTTCAATGCTTAAATGTATATGGTATATCCTACATTATTTAAGACATAAAACAAACATAGTTTATTCCCTGGAAAGTTTGAACACTGAGGAGGCCAGACTGGGAAAAATAAGTGTAACGGCTCCCCCTTCATGTCAGCAGCAGCCTGTCACGGACGTCCAAAGGGACTCACCGTGGGGAGCAGGAGAGCGGAAAAAGACCCATATGCGTAGCGGCGAGACGGGAAAAAGGCCCGGGCTCGTTCATGCAAAGAGTTCAGGAATGCCGTATAGAAACCTATGCCCTCAGGGAGCGGACGTGGGGCGACCTGGTGCTAGGCGGGTCTCAGGACATCCGAACATCAATGCTGAGCGAGGACAGAGTGCAAGACCCGGAAATATATAGCCCAAGGGAAAGAGAGGGACAGGAAGGACAGCAGACAGGAAACTAGGGACAGGACAAAGAAGGAGCGCCCTCTGGCTGCAGAGGGCGTGACACAGCCATTGGCCTGACTCTCCCAAGAGACTGACAGCTCCTGCAGTGGCCGAGCCAGGCAAGTCATTGACTTTAAGCTTGCTTTAACCCGAGTTAATTGACTAAACCAATGCAGACAAAGCTTAATATATATACTGATGGACAAAAGAAAAGCTACACCTCCTCCTCCACACTCTGACCCTCCCATCTGCGTGGAATTTGAGGTATTATAGAATGCACAGAAAACTGACTCTAAGGGTGGCCTTTTCTTGCACTGACCGAAGCTTTGATTTAAGGTCTTTTTAAAGGCGACCGATCAGGCATTGCTCCACCTAGACCTCGTTGGGTAAAAGTGCACCTAACCTTTCGTGTGATTGGCAAGTTGCAATGCCTCACTGCACAAGCTGTATTGCTGGTCAGAGGGCTTAAAACAAATTGACATTTTTGTGAAAGTACATAAGCTCTAACTATAGTATTCTCATTCCAGGAAACGTTGCGTTTCTTTTTTCCATCAGTATACTATGGTCTATAATAATATATATTACTGAAGTATACATATATTAGGAATACTGAAGTTATCAACAACATAACAAATTGATATTTGAAGTATAGAGATATCCTAATGTTAACAAGGCTTTAACTTTAACTTAACCATTCACACACATGGTCAGAAATCCCCATTCTCTAGACTATGCAGTTCATGGCACTTTGCAGATGAGGGAAAAAAAAAAAACATCTAATACCAGAAATCCATCACACAAATTGTTTTAATCCAGAATTAACAAATTCCTATTCTCAACAGACCAAAACAACCTGACTTACGTTTGCCATTCAAACATTATCAGTATATTATCAGCAAGTCAAGACCAAATTAATTTATACATGTCTTCTTAAACAAGACCTCAGCTAAGCCAATGGACGAATAGAATTACAAATAACATATCGTCTCCTGTATTTTTTATTTTCTTATTTGTTTCATGAGAACTTCAATTTCTCCATAACTAAAACAGACATAACAAAGACAGTTTCTTAAATTCAGATTAGTTAATAGACAAATAAGTACTTGGACGGGGACGTTTTGAATGCATCTTTGATTTAATTTAATTTTGAACACCCACAGTTTATTATTCATCTTGCATTGCTAAAACTACATTATCATGTTGTGTTTTTCCCTTTTAAACTTCACGACTAAAGCCTGGAGAAGCCTAATGTCTGCATGAAAGCCCCCTTCCTGAGATATATTCCATAAAAAAAATTCTAGGGCATTGATTGTTCAGGAAAATTAGTGTAAACTCACAATTGGAATTGTGATATTATCAATTATACTTTGAAATACAATTGTACTATCACAAATTATATTTATATTAAGTGGTTATATAAGGTCATATTTTTTCTAAATTACATTATATTGTGTGTGAAATTTAAAAAATAAAGTGATTCATTAACAGGCAAAATAGTTAGATGAATGTTCAGTTGAAAGGATCTAACAGGAGGATAAGAAGTCTACTTACCTGGAGGGCATTGTGGTAGTCATTCAGCTCGACATACAGAAGGCCACGATTAACCAACACCTTCAGATCTATTTCTCTCCTGCTTCCAAGAAGCTGAACGATTCCATAGTCTCTTAAAGCCTCAAATCACAAACAAGAATAATACAATATGTTCAATTGTTGTTTATTGTTGTGTTTCATACAAAGATGCAAAATACTGGTGAAATTCCTCGTGTTTCTAATTCTCAAATATCAAGCCTTGCCAAACTATCACTACCACTATCCTGATTTAGAAGCAGCTCTTTTGTACATCACAATCTAGGCAGTAATTTGTGTCCTGTGAAGGAAGAAATTTGCTGAACTCAGCCTTTATGAAATCACATTGTAGCAGCTTATCTATGCCAGTTAAGGGTATATATATTTATCTTTATATATGTACAGATATAAACTAGTTTGTGTTAAAACAAAACCCTAAAAATAAAGCAATGTAAAATAACAAACAGGGTGCTACATTTCTTATGTAATGCAATACTGAATTGAAGGCTATAGAAACTGAATGTGGTTTATAGTTTATTTCCAAGTTAGACTGCATCTTTTGTTAACAGTTCACATGTCTTCTTTAACAGTAGGAATAGAAAGATATGTCTGCCTGTGGAAACGTGTGAAAACAAAACTAAATCATAGTTTTATGAGTTTTACAACTCATTTTGTGACATTTAAACAAAATGTTTTGTGATTTTAAATGGCAGGACACACACTTGTGTAAACTTAAAACTTCTTTAAAATTCTAAGCAAGGAAAATGTAATATAATGTTTCTACAAAGAACATGATACACAAAATACTTACATTTTTATACTCCTTCATTTCCTGGTAGCACACACCCCTGTTATAGTAGGCAAGGGAGCACATCTTGTCAATACTGACGGCTGTGGTTAAGTCCTCCACAGCATACCTGTATACCTGGAACAAAGACAAACAGTGCAGTGTTTTTAGATCTTAAGTTAAAATGATACTAGCAAGATGAAACAAACAAGTCAACAGATCGAAAAGGGCTGTGCATCTGTGCATCCTGGCCCTCTGGCTGCTTTTGGAGACAGATGTGCCTCCTCCAGCTGGCAGAGACACTGTCTGTTCGGCTGCCTGGGCCTGTGTGAAAAAAGGGGACAGGCCTCTAATGGCATAATGGTGGAGGGGAGACAACACAGACGCTGGGTTAATGATGCTGCCTACTGAGGGGTGTTGACTTATTACAAATAAGCAAAACCGCAGGTTCTCAGTTTTTTTTTAACCCAACATACTGTACAGATCAGAATTTATTTGATTGAAAATCCCAGTAAAGGTACTGTGGGCATGTCCTGTATGTTGGAAGAGTACTCTTGGGTGCGCGTGACTGATGTGGTTGTGACTGTGGCACTGAGCCCTTGTGACTGCTCCTGCTCAGTGGTGGCTCCGAAGTTACTCCTGGCAAGTAAATCAGTAGCTAAAAAGTCTGTTTTATGAGGCTGGAGGGAGACTCAGATACCCTTGGCCCACAAGTGGTTGCATTATTTTAAATAAATCATCCTTACAGAAAGAAACACAGCTAGACCACATTCTGCTAGTGCAAACACGACATCTGCCTGGACAGCTGCATTATTTTTACCAGAATTCATTCATTATTTCCCCTACGCATTCCTTCTTTTTGCCCCTTCTTGTGAGCTCCCATGTTTTGTATGGATTGATGTACGACACCTTGAACACAATTTAGTCTACATGAAAATAAAAAGCAATTTTAGCAACTCCTTGCGCAATATTTAATCTTCTAGCACTAAGTAAAGCATGTTTCTGTTTTCTTAAACATTTAGTTAAACTGTGAGAATCATTTTAAAAACTCCTGTCAGAATTATTTCTGGAACGAGTGCTACGCAGGTGTTTCATTATGCTTGGAAGATTGCAACACAGCAGCATGATATGAACCAACTGCGGCAGACTGGTCGTCTTTCAAGGCCAGAGCAAGACTGATGAAGGGAAAACTACTGGTGCCTCACTCCATACACAACCCAAAACACACTCGTGTATGCTAATTTGTATCCTTCTAGTAAAACCCTAAATCTAACATTTTGATTTTTCTAATAATAATTATGTTAGATGCTGACCTTAATAATTAATTATCAAAGTTTGTGTCTATTATATTTCTGTGTATATATATATTTCTTAGAAAATATATGTTTTATAAGGAATATCCTTTAGGGTTTTAAGAGCAGCCTGTTGCAATGAATTAAGAGAATATGAATATTAACTAGCTCTGACCATTTCACAGTGCTGAAAAGCACAACTGTCTAAATATATTTCTAACTCCAATTTCTGTCTATACAGTCAATGTTATTAGCCAAGGACAGCTGTTTTTCCTTTTTCCTTCCGATTGATCAATTAATTAAAGAAAAATGTATTCACCTCAACAGGAATATTCAAAAACACAATCTCAACAGCTCGAGGTATGCTAAGTATATACAAGCAGCTGATATGAAATACTATAGTCACTTATCCATCACACAAGCAGCTATATCACCCTGCAGCTCTTAACTAGCTACCCACTGAAGCTAATCAGGGTTGAGCCTGGCCAGTACCTCGTACCTGGATGGGTGACCTCCTGGGAAGCTATGGTTGCTGCTGGAAGTTGTGATACTGGGACCAGTGGGAGGCGCCCACCCTGCGGTCTCTGTGGGTCCTAATGCCCCAGTATAGTGGTGGGGACACTCTACTGTAGTGGGTGCTGTCTTTCGGATGAGACGTTAAACCGAGGTCCTGACTCTCAGTGGTCATTGAAGATTCATCGGCATTTCTCAGTAAGACCAGGCAAATATCCCGGTGTCCAGGCCAAATTACCCCCCTCGGCCTTTACTGTGGCCTCCAAATTGTCCCCTTGTATGATTGGCCTGCACCTGCCCTGCGATGGACTGGCGCCCTGTCCAGGGTGTACCCTGCCTTGCGCTCGTGGCTTGCCGGGTAGGCTCCGGCTTCCCACAACACCGTGTGGCATAAAGCGGTTTGGCCAATGACATAACATGACTAATCCATCACATATACCAATTACATCTACCTGACTCACTGGAGAAGTGACTCAAGGATGTGTTCCTTGATCATTAACATAATTTGCATCTCTGTAATCATCCATAAAGCTAAAAGGTCTCAGGATTGTAGGCTTAAAACACTATGACAATGCAACAAAAAGAACAATTCAAATGTCAAAGACCTTTACATAGTTGTGTTTGAGATTTTGTTTTTCACTTTTGGGGAAAAAGTGTACATCAAACCAATATATTTGTAGCAATCCTCAACTTGTGATTTATTTGTCTTTTATAAAAATGTATTACTTTATTGTAAAGCACTACAGTAGGGTGTATAATAGCAGCATCTGAAATTTCATTTGTAAATAGGAAAATACTGCTTCAAAACATCCTCAGAGTTCTTCAAAAATGTGTTTTTGTCACTTCTTGTCACTTACATTTAAGTATAACTGTCAAAGGAAAATAAAAAAGGCAATTAAAAAAATATTTATGCGCTGTAAATATATTGATATTGTTTCGTGCAAGAGATTTTTTATTACTACAGAAAAGGATTCAGGATTGATTCCTAATTTGTCTATCTGACTATGTTGACCAGTTTTCACCCAATTAGGTCTCAGCAGTTAAAATAATGTGATAGCAGCTGAGTTTTATGGCACAACTCTTTGATCTTACCTTCATGTAGAATTTCAGCACACCTCTGTAAAGATATGCTCTCACACTCTTGGGCTGGATCTTTATAGCTTCATTGCAGTTCAGAATAGCCTTTGAGTAGCGCCCCTTGTCTCCATAGAAAGCAGCACGACTTAGATATACCTTGAGAAAGATATTGAGGAAATAATTTATTTTCAAAATAGGTTTAACTTCAGTTTACCAAATCCCTGTGATAAAAAAGCAGTATCATACATCTCTAATTAAAAAAAACATGGTTATCTTTATAAAATAGCATAACAATAACCTTCTTGTTTTTTTCTGACAAAAGGTTTCACCAAAAAGGCAAAGAAATAGCCTTGCAATAGTTTACAATTATTTATCTATTCTAAATCATTGCCCATGATTTATTTAAATGTTAAAACCAAGTCTACATGTAATCTAAAGGTCTAACGGGTCTTAAATGTTTAAAACTCCATTGCAGTTGGTAAACCAGATCTCAGAAGCTAATCAATACTGGGCCTGGTTACATTTCTAAGGAAAGCCTTGCTGATGCTGTAGGTTGTTGTGGTATGCCAGTAGGTACCACTAACCCCCCTTGAACCTCATTTCCATACTGATGCCACTGTATGCTTCAGTTCACTCTATGCTGTAAGTTCAGTTATTGGAAGAAAAGGACTAAGCATTAAAAAAGTATTTTGTTTTAATACCTGAAAAAGGTTGGGGTTGATTGAAAGAGCTCGATTGAAATCCTGCACACTTTTCGATTGCTGAAGACGCATCCGACAAAGTCCACGCTGGTAGAAGGCATCTGCATAATCAGGGTTTATCTTCACTGCATTACTGAATGCTTCCAGAGCCTGGAACAATAGGTCACATCATGCTCTGCTTCGTGTGTGAGAACAAAAGAGAGGCTCTTCATACAGAAGGTGTGAATCATTATTTCATGAATGTCACACTTTACTGATGTGTTTATCTAGGTCAGAATTCTTTGTGAGAAACTTTAATTATTAGGACTGCTTTAAATGCAATGCCAAAGGACATAACAAGGTCCTGTCCAGAGGAAGACATGCTCCCTGCTTAACCCACTGAAAAAAAAAATCCACTGTTTATGTGTTAACACTACAGTATGGTATGTGTTGTCTATCTGGTGTATTGCAGCCAAAAAATATATCAGATTATTGCAAAAGAGCACACCTTGCATTCCTTACAGTATAATTTGACAGAAAAACAAATAAAAGAAAGAAAATAATATTTTTTTATGCTACCGGAATTATGCTGTAGGAGCAAACATCATCCTACCTGTAGTAAATTGACCTGGGCCATGTAGCAGAGGCCAATGAAGTAAAACACTTCAGCAGCCTCAGGTACAGTACACAACCCATCTTCATTGGGGCACAGCAGCATCAGTACTTTTTTGAAACTCTCGACTGCATCCTGTGTTAAAATATATTATAGAATATATATATATTGAAGTAAATAAGTGAAATAAGTAATAACTGCATGATATGAAT